GAGGGAATAAAAAGGAGTTTAAGTCCACCTATCTCTCTGTTGTATGGGATTCAGTATTCCAATATTTTTCAATCTTGATATGTTTAGCTATCTGATTTTTCATGCTCTGAATGAAAACAACAAAGCTGTATGCAAAATTGAAACCTTACTTATGTACAAGCAACGAAAGAACAGTGCATTTATATGAATATGACCCTCAGTCCATACAGCTTTTGAGTCATCTCAAAAGTCAAAATCATCCTGGTTTGGCTTTGGTGAAGTTAACATTGCTGTATACAGCCTGAGCCTGTCCTCCCCAAGTGAATTGCTTCGGGACAGTGGTCTCCGGGGCCTGATAAATGACAGTGAGGTAAGCGTCAGGCGGTGCTTGTACCTCCTCCAGGCCAGCTGAATAGCCACAGCTGCCCAAGTTCTCCATCCAGGTGAATAATATCTTGCACTTCTCTTCACTCTTTCATTGACAAATGTGTACCGGAAATGTTGCGTTACATACTTAACATCCTCCGCTTCCAGGCTAAATACCTCTGTAGTTTCAAGAGTAACCAGGGTGGATGAAGAAGGCGGCAGCCTCTCAATAAAGGGTCTTCTCAGGCACCATGAAAGGAGCTCATCACCGCTGAAATTTCCAGGGCCTAGCATGCAGCAACTCTTGACACCATCTCGGAGAACTTGGCTGCTCTGGAGATGTCCCCTCACTACAAATAGCATCCTTTGTACTGGGTCACCTTCTCTAGTTATCTACATGCCATGTTCAATGTGTTTGGAAAATTTCTAGTTCAGAAGCTATGATAAATGGGAACCAAAATCCAAGATTATATATCCGTTTCTTCCAAGGTAAAAGATTAAGATTAGGACTTACTGTTTCTCCCTTGTTGAATATGAGGGACTTCACACGGTCACATATGTTCTCTAGGACCAAATCCTCCATGTGTTGGAATAATGGTACCTGAAAATGCATTTCAAATCATGAATTTTTTCTTCACAGAATTCGGATGGGCTCAAAAGCCCACCAAGTTCTTCCAACCTAAGCTCTTATTAGGCGAAGGCTAAATTTTATCTAGTTGGGTTGGGCAGAACCTGTTGGGCTCAGGCCCAACTACTCCGCATTTCTTAATTTCCATGTTAGAACTTCTTTCATTGCTGAAAAAGAAAATTGGGATTAATTGTTGTTTAGCACTTTACCTGTCTCACTAAATCCAAGCAGAGGTGGTACTTGATGTCCCTCCTAAGCCCTTCAGGGAGGTTCCTGATCATCTCACACTCATCGACGCCGCGCATCGCCGCCCACTTCTGCCGTTCGTAGTTCCGCACCCGCTGCCGGAACCCTTGAGGCAATTGCCTTTTTCTCATCCACCACTCTATATTCCTCATCTTCAATTGCATTGCCTGTTTCTTTGACGTTGTTGCATGCAGAAACACCTTTTGTTTTTTTCCAACAAAAACAAATAAAACCCACTTTAAATCTTGCATTAAAAAAGCAATATTTTTTCTTTTGTTTTATATTTAATTTCTACCCAAATATAGCTCATGATGAAAGTTACAAGGTAGTATATGGTACTAAGTCAGAAACCTATAAAGTGAAGATAAAAAGAAAGATGATACGCTAAGTTGACAACAGGACAATAATTGAACATAGTACTGTTCGATGTCTTGTGATTGGAAACATGTCAGTTGCACGATGAATGTTTTGTCCGTACAAAAGCGTTTAAAAAAGTATCATGATATGTTCAATACCATCAAAGCCTACGAAATCAAGTTGTGTATGGGTTCCACGTGATGTCTTTTCGGTGTTTATGCTTTGGCAAAACTTTTATTAGTAAGGGGATGTGCTAAACTTAATTCAATTTCACCCTTTCGGTTTTGCCTATTAATTAAGGAGACACAAAATGAATGCACCTACAGTAGAGATATCATCTCAAGTGATCTGTTTGATGCATTTAGTTGTGACTATACATAAAATAACTTTTTTTATAATTATAAATTTTGGTATTAATATCTTTTACTTTATAAAAAAATTTAAACCAGCAAAGAAAAATGTCAGACCGACAATTAAAGTCCTTGGATGTAAAGAAAAGTTAAACCACATTCAAAGGATGTGTGGACTGTGTTATTGTTTAAATTAATATATTTTTGTCAATTTAAATTGTAAAACACTTTTCTCTAATAATTTTATGATTTTGAAACTAATTTAAAGTAAGAACAATGCAGAATTAATGAAATGATAAAGGATTATTCTTACCTTGATATTACCAATCAACATAGTGACTAAAAGCAGCCCACTAGTAAGAACAATGATATTGAAAACTACTTCCAACCATTCTGTTGTGCTCTCCAAATTCCCAAAAGTGCTGCTCATTCAATCCCATAATGCACAATTTTGTAAGCTACAAGATAAGAAAAAATATATTGAAATTTTGCAGAAGATCATATGTAATACCTGAGAGTCATTAGGCCCCAGAAGATGGGGAAGAGGATCTTCTCAAGGCGGCTGTCATTGGTAACAAGCTGAACAGTCCACCTATATGCTCCATAGTCATAATGATCAGGAGAATCTAGGCATATACTCCTCACTTGCTGGTTCTTTGCCCAGGCTAGCCTTCCTCTCTCCCTCATCATATTTGTTGTTCCATAATAAATAGGCTCCTTACAGACCAAGATCCTCAAGTCACAACCTTCTATCAATCTACATTGTTCTCTCAGGCATTTTTCAGACCTTTGGATCCCCAGCAAGTACCAACATGCTCCGGCCGCCTGCAGGTTACAAAAACATTTGGAAATCTAAATTCAAGCAATGAGGAACTCTAGTACTAAGTTGGGAGCAAACAATATAAGGTTATTCTTACGAATAGGGGTTCAATAATGTAAAGGGTGTAGTTCATGCAGCTAAGTGGACGTTTATTATTTGTATGAGTTAATATGCTAAAGAATAGCTGTTTTATGGGGAGGAGTAAAGTACTTCATACTCATAAAGATTTTTTGCTGACGAAAAAAAAAATTTAATACATGAGGTTCCATATGGCATGTATTTAATTTAGTTAATATATATTCCCGGCGGGCAGGCATTGATTTGATTTTCTGGGGTACACAGAACGAAGATTCAAAATCAGAAACATTGCACTCCATCAAGCGGCCTGATAGATCACACGCCTTATTAAGGGAGGTGAAATGTTTATTAGATTTGAAGATTGAATCTCCAATTATTAACAATTAATAAAAATTAATTTACTAACCATTTGCTCATGTAAAAAAAAAATTTCAGAAACATTTATTTTATTTTCTCCCAAGGTGTCTGCAAGTTAACTGTTACCTTGGGCATGTTTCACGGGGATGGTTATAGCTAGGGAAAAGAATCTATAGACCATGTAAAAATTTGATGTTTATATTTGATTTAATTATTAAAAATAATTATAATTATAATTATAATTATTAATTAATAAAAAACTATTATTTATTATTTATTAATTTATATATTAATATTTTTAAATATTTTAATTAATTATAAGTTAATTAAATCAAATAAATTTAATATTTTTATGTAATTTAATATTCTATTATATGACAACAACTATAGCTATGTTTCACAAATAAGGCACTTACGTACATAATTTCTATCTCTTCTTTCTGTCTTTTCATTTTCTTTCTTATCCTCTGTTTATACTTTATCTGCCATCATGCAGTCAAAAGAACAAATTTTGGAGACAACATCCTCCATTAGGCTAATGTCAGATTTATAATATTCTCACACTTTTCACTAAAGAACCGAATGCTTTATTTTGTTCTGTTTATAGTCACTTCATTTTTTTTTCCTGTTGAAACTTTATGCTGATAATATTTTACAATGGCATGAGAATCCTTTTCCCACCAACTTCCATTAAAAAAAAAAAAACCAACTTCTCAAATCAAAATAATGATATTCAACCATACTCAAGTTACTGCAATAATCTAGTGCTAACTTCTTAATTTGAAATTTATAGAAAAAAAAAAATTCTTAATTTGAATATAAGAACAGATTGCTACTTACATGAGATGCGACGAAGTATGCAATGAGGTTGAGGAAAATGCCCCACCAAACAGTCCCAAAAACGTAGCCGGAGTGGTTCTGCATGCGACGGAGGAGGCAGACGGAGTGGTAGATCTTGGGAAGGTATTGGAAGAGAAACATGATGAGGAAGACTGTCATCACTAGGGTTACCGATCTTTTCTCCAACAGAGATGGAATTATCACCCACAAAACGATCTGTCCACCACCATATATTACTTAATGGCCAATTCAAGGTCGAGTTTTTCTAACATATGCATATTTATTTAGAATGAGTGTTAAAATTAATGTTAGTTTTTTTAATCTTTCATATAAATTATTAATGTTTAAAAATTATATTTATTATATTTTTAATTTATACTCGAATCACAAGTTAATTAGAGCAAAGTTGATGGTCACCTGACATTATTGAGACCACCCAAACTTTTTTTTTCTTTTCTTTTCTTTTTTCTAAATAATTAGTTATAGTATTTGAAAATATAAGTGTGTAAATTAATTTTAATATGTTAAGTGATAAATATTAATTATTCTATTATTTATCAATTAATAATTAAAATTATTAATTATTTTTAATAGTAAACTAAATAAAATTAATATTTTAAAAGATAAAATTTTAAAGTTTGGTTGTCCCTAACAATTTATTGAAGGCTCATGACCATTCCCACAAGTTAGCAAACCCCTTTATTACCACGCTTAGAAGATTAATTAATGTGATTAATGTGTCTGTCAGCACCATATATAGATGATTCTTGCTACTTTGTCGTTATATATCATGATCAACTTTAATTATTTTTAGGTTAATGAGCGATAGGACTTTTTGTCGTTGAAGTGAGTAAAATCGGACCCGCATTATGTTTAAATTAAAGAATACACGGTAGTTAATTTTAATTATTTTAATCCTTGTCACGTTGTTTTATGAAAAGAAACTTTATTTATTTATTTTTTTAATTTTTTGAAAAAGTGTTTTTTTTTTTCAACTTTGCTCCTAGGGAGTGTATATTAATTATGTAGTAAATGATAACACAAATTTCAATATTAATTGTATTAATTATAAATTTTTTATTTTTTTTATGTAATCATGGGATCAATCAAAGTGTGGGAAGTGAAATGAGATGATGGGGTATATTATTTTCTCCTTCAAACATCAAAAAAATATGTATCTTTCCTTTCATTATAAAAGCATTCAGCTTTCTATTGCGTATTTAGAATTAGTATATGGTTGTTTTTTCATATATTGCTACAACGATCTAATATAAATGTTATGTGATGATCTCCTCTTAAAATTAGAAATTTTGAGTTACAGTCAATTAAATATGTGCTCAAGAGGGTATTTCAATAAATTAAAAGTATATGAGATTCTAACTTCAAAATCTCATTTTCAAATATTAAGTTAAATAAAGAGATATTAGAGAAAATGTGAGAGCTATCCTTTCTAATATGAGTCATTATCATATATACCAAAAAAAGAAAAAAAAAGTCATTAAAGGTGTGGGTGAGATTGACAAAATGAACAAGAGGATTGCCTCCACATCCATTGTGCATGCATGTATGTATGTGATAATAAGTATCCTTTTTAGTGTTTTTTGACATTAATTAAAAATGAAAAAAAATTTCAAAACTCGCCTCCATTCAAGTAGAAAACTGCACTTTTACCGAATTGAGCTATGAAAGGCCAAAACAAAAACCGAATATAAAATAGGATACGTAACTTGATGGCCAAAAGAACAAAAACATATGGTATATAATTAAACATACCTTGTAAAGGTACTATCCCTTGTACATTTACCGAAAATTAAAATGAAGAATCTATGGTATACATCATTTACTTCATCATTAATTAACCCACTATTTAAATTTGCCTTGCTTAATAATTATAATATGTGTTTGACAAAATTAACCAAAACTTGGCCTTATTTCATTAAGTTGTGAGTAAAGAGAGAAAGTTGCATATTTTGCATTTTTTTTAAAAAAAAAAATTTAATTGGAAAAAGAAATAAACGTTTAACAATTATGAAGATTTTAACTCCCAAACCTTATACTTTGTTTACTTCTTTTTTTTTCCCACAAACGATACTATATATATTTGCTTACTTCATTCAACTAATTATTTCGTACCATCTTTATTTCCAACCCAAGAATTTCAATTATGAGAGGTTAAAAGAGAACTCAACAGCATCAATGAAGTGTTTTTCTCCAACACCACGATATTTTCAATCTACCAAACTCCCTCCCTTTATTTTAAAAAATTTTTATTGCTATTTATTATGGAGAGATTTTTTTTTATATATAAATATTATGGTGTAGATATTAAACGAAGTAAATCGGTAAAATAAAAATGGTAAAAACCCTCCAAATATTTCTCCCCTCATTTCCACTATTCCCCTTCCAAATATATGACAAAACGCAGGGCTGTATCACATGCCATTGCAGATTGCAGTTGCATGTGAAACAACACTATTGTTCCACCAAGAAAAAAAAAATAGATGGAGAATTGCAATAAAAATATGGATCAGATTTTTATTAATCTTAATCTAACGAAAAAGGTTATGAAGAATTTTTAATGAAGTTATATATATTACTCCAAGACTTTTTTAACTTAATAAAAAAGGAAATTATGTTATCTAAATTATGTCAAACTATATAATTTAAACAATTAAATAAAAATGAACTCATTAATATTAAGATTATTATTTATCTAAAATTTATGTTTTTGCAATTCAGAACTATAAAATAAAGAAATCATAGAAAGAAAAATGCAAATTATTATTACCTGGGGTAGTGGGAGGATGACAAAGAGATCAAAGAAGAATTCCCTCCTGGCCTTGAAGCATCGGAATGCCACACTGGGGGCAGTGCTAGAAGCGTGGGACCCACCACCACAACCTCCTCCGCCTTCATCTTTTGCAGCTGCAACGGCAGCAGCGTAGGTATACGACCGCTTGGCCATCTTGAGCTGCAGCCACATGTTCCACAGTTGCAAGGCGTCGGTCATGCAGCGGAGGGCGGTGACAGTGATGGCGAACCAACCGTCGACGAAGAGGCACATGCAAGTGTCGCTTATGGAGAGGGCGTAGAAGAAGAGGGGGTCCACAAAGAGGCCGGTGGCGCAAACAAGGAGGAAAACCCTGTTCCATTCTTGAACCCATTTAGCTCTCGGGTCCAAAACCTGCCCGAGCGACCACCCCTTGCGTTGTCCCCTGCCACCGCTGCACATGTAATAAGACATGCTCTTGCAACCCCGGGGAATTTCTTCTTCTTCGATATCTAATTCTTCTGCTTCCATTTGTCCTCCTCCTTCTTCGGATTCGTCGTGGTCGTCATCTGTGAAGTGTTGCATATGGCTGTCTCGTGTGAATTGTTGTTGATCGGTTGCCATGGAGAGAGAGAGGGTGTCGCCTGTGAGTGATATTTTCACCAAAAATTGTTAAGAGTCATGTTAAACAGAGGTTTTTTTGGAGGTTTAGAATGAAACCTATCCCTGAAAGGACATATATTGATATATAATTGGAGAGTAAACAGACAAATTCTAAGAATGTACGAGATTGCCCTCGGTCTGTGCTATTTTCCTCTTTTTTTCTTTTTTTTTTTCATCTCCAAATTTTTTTGGTGGTCATGATATAGAGCTGGCAAAAAGTTGACACAAAACCTGCCCATTTAACATGGGTAATGAGTAACTCTCTCCTTTTTCATTTTCTTTCTCAATTTGGCCTGGCAAAAGTGCAT